GTGCAGGACGTGGACGACAGCTCCGTGACCCTGTCGTGGGCGGCCCCCGCGCGGCCCGGCAGCGCCGGCCTGGACGGCTACGTGGTGGAGCACCGCGCCCACGGAAGTAGGCGTGCGCGCACGTGTGCGCGTGCATGGGGGGGGACGTGTGTATGTGCGCACGTGTGTGTACCTGGGGATGTGTGCGCACACGTGTGTCTGTGCATGGGGATGTTTGTATGTGCACATGGGGGGCACGTGTGTGTGGTGTGTGTCCCCGCGCGTGGGGACCTGTGTGTGCGCGCGTGTGCACGTGTGCTGGGGGAGGAGTATCTCGGGAGTTCAGAGCCGGCTGCCGCTACCCCACGGTGCGGGTTTAGCTGGAGGAGCCGGCCGCAGCTCCCCGGTGTAACCCCCAGGTATAACGAGGCAGGCGGGTGCAGCTGTGACCCGTGAGGACAGCAGCCACATTCGCTGTGGCTGGCACATTGCACGGCTCTGGTGGCCACTTTTTTCCCCCTTCTCCCCCACTCCCACGAGTAGGCGCTGGGGCGGCTGAGCTGGCCGCCCTGCCCTAGTTACGCGACTGCAGCGGATGCCGCTCCCCACAGCACCACGGCTCTTCCCGAGCCACGCGCTTGGGCGGCGGGACAGAGGTGAGGCCGCCGAGCGCTCCCATTACCGGTGCCCGTTCCTGGATGAAGGTCTGAACAACTACCATGAACGTAAACCTAGTCCCAGCAGGCGTAAGACAAAAGTTCAGGTCTTTCCTCTGTTTTTTGGGTTTTTTTATAGAAAAAATAATAGAAGGAAACTCAGGGAGTGCTCAAAAGCGTACTTCCAAATGCTTACGCTTGCATGCCTCACGCGAGGGCCCTTTATCGAAAAAAGCAGCTTGATTTCCAGGGGTCTGCTGAAGCCAGTAGGAAACACGGCAAGTTTTTTGCCTCTAAAAACCAGGCTGCATATTGAGGTGCCTAAACACTGTCAGAGCCTGAAATTGAGGGTCTCAGGTTTGAGCAGGGTGAGCTTCTGTTCAGTTGGCAGATGCAGTATATTTTGGCTTTGAATCCAGGATGCTTAGTTAAGGGGTGGCAGTTAGCAAGGAAAAGGGAGAGGAGGTAGGAGGAATAACTAAACCTCTTGGGCCTGAAAGGAAGTTTAAGGATTAGGAAGAGACAATTGGTGTTAGCTGGCAAACCATGTCTTTTGAGGGTATAGGCACTGGTCCTAGGGTTTAGGGCACCTGGTAAATTAGATGACTGGGAGGTGTTTTCTGAGGTTTGGACATTGCAGCCTGTGGAGGCTCCCAAGCTTTGCCTGTCTAGCTAGTTACAACAGGGCTGTCGTGTTGTAGCCATGCTGGTCCAGGAAACATGCAAGAAACAAAGGCTTGTAGGTGATATCTTTTATTGGATGACCGTGCAGCTGGGAGAGGTGATAGACATGCTTTTGGGCGCAAAGTGACCTCCTTTAGGCCTGGGAAAGGAGCAGATGAAACCTAATCTAAAAAAAACAAATAAAGCAACATTCATTCCATTATGGACGGCAGAAAGTAGGGCAGGGTGGCACCTTAGGGTGCTTGTAGATGTGCCAGAAGGCTGCTGTAATTGCAATGTGTCGGAGCAGGCTAATTAATTGAGTCTGCTAGTGCACGCTACTTAGCCAGCCAACGTCTGCTTCTTGCACATCAGAATGGCGTTGGGGGCACTTTCACTGAGCTCGTACCATGGGCTTTAAATAAAGTGCTCTCCCACTGCCATTTTGAAGCACAGGGATGCTGATACACAAGATATTTTTAATTAGAGCGGCTCTTGGAGCCGCTCTAATTAAAGCACCCCACCCCTGGAGCACATGTAAAGATGCCCTTAGAGAGCAACTGCTTCAGAGAGGTAAGAGCTTTTGTAAGCAACAACCTACTTCATTAGCTACTCTATGCGAGCACGTTTCGGCCACTATGCGTGCTCCTTCACCTGTTTGATATTCACCGTTCCCTTGTTGAGCAGCGTGACTAACCACCTGTAGTTACATGGTATCTTTTTGGCCCTAATGTCGGTCTGCTGCTCATGTCTCAGTCAAAGTTGTTTTTGCAGTGCAGTGACTCATGACCACGGAGTGAGTTATGATGAAGCTGTCTGTGATCATTGGGGCCATTACAAATGCTTGCGTAAAGTGCATGAAAGAAAAGCGAGCCGGTGTCACAATGAAAGTCTGATCCCGTTTACCACAATAACATTATTACGTCTTGCTAATTCTGCATGTGGGCCTTGCGGGGTTGCCTTTTACTGGGGGTAAAGTTGACAACTGGCTAGTGAGGATCACGTTGGGAAGCAAAGGAAAGTTCATAAGAGGCAAGCTGCTGAGAAGGTTTTTCAGTGAAGTAGGTTTTGAGAATCGCCATATAGAAAGAGTTAGGTGGACCCAGCAGACCACACTGCAGACCCATTAGATCGCTGTGCCACTCTGGATCTGCTCCTGCATAGACCTACTGTACATTGGTGGTATCCATTTATCTCTGTTGCATATTTCATTTGGCAGCTTCAGTCTTTTGCCTGTAACTTAGTGTATGATTAGTGAAGATCTTTTGTATGTTTGTTTTAGCTACAGAGTGGGTGACTGCTAACAAGGAGCCCTTTCTTTCCCCCCGGTACACAATCCACAACCTTACATCTGGAGATAAACTTGAGATTCGCGTAAAGGCTGTGAATTCTGTTGGAGTTAGTGTCCCAGCTGTCCTGGAACAGCCTGTCGCCATCCGGGAGATACTTGGTAAAGTATTGTTTCCACTGTACAGATTCCAAATAGTGCAACACTCATGCAATATAATGGTCGTACAAAGAAGCACAGAAGTCAGCATGTGCTACTTGAAGGTTGAGTTCCTTGTACACCCTGACTCTTCCCCTTTGTGCATTACAAATTAGATCAAGATCAAACAGTATTTTTTTTTAATAGTAAAATTAACAGCTGAAATTCCGTTTTGGTATAAATGGGTGCAAACTCCATTGACTTTAAGGTACTCTATTAAGATAGCCCTGACCCAGGGGTGGGCAAAATACGGCCTGTGGGCCGGATGCGGCCTGCCAGGTCATTCTATCCGGCCCGCGGGGCCCCTAAAAAATTTAGAAAATTAATATTGATCTGCCCCTGACTGCCTGTCATGCAGCCCTTGATGGCTTGCCAAAACTCAGTAAGCGGCTTTCCGCCCGAAATAATTGCCCGCCCCTGCGGCCTGACCTATGTTAAGATTCTTAACTATTTTGTGTAAGACAGAAGACGTGTCATGAAATGATCACATACCATCAGAGATTCAACAAAAGGCTTTGATACCTTTTTCAATAATTAGGACATGTATTTACTGTGTTATTTTGCTCTGAGCTCTTAGAAGCAGGTGCACACACACTCATCTCTTAGTGAACATTGCTTTTCACACTCATCTATTTTGTGGTACTTATTACTTATGCATGCATGTGTGCACAAGCACGTGTGTGTGTACACACATCTGTGCTTGGACCTGGAATGATGCATGTTTATTTTGTTAAGGAACACTAAGCAGTGTTTGTCTGCATTAGAAGAGGTTTAATTACTTCTAACTTGTTAATCAATAGTTATTCCCATGCTTAGCGAGACTCGCATTCCTTGCTGAGAGCTATTAACATGCCAGATCTGATATACAGATACAGAGCTGTATTTCAGTTATCCGAGAGCATAAAAAGGCTAAGCTCTTTCACAAGAATTTGCAAACATGCCTATTTTTATATTTCTCAAAGACCCCAGCTGATTTTTCTCAAACAACACCCTCCCCCCCCCGCAAAAAAAAAAAAAAAAGAGACTTTAGAGACATCTCATCCCACAAAGAAACATTTTGAGAAAGCTACAAGTGTTTGTAAAGAGGGTTATAGCTGGAATGAACATTGTGCCTTTGGAGCAGTGCTTTCCTTGTCCTATGGTGTCCCATATCAAATATGAAATGATGGGGCTATATATTACGCTTGTAGGATGACTGAACTGTGTGGCTTCACGTAAGTTCCAGATAATATGGTTTGTGTGTTCACTGTGGGGAGGGATTATTTTTAGACGATTGTGCTAGTGGAAAATGTTTTCAAGACAGATATTTTCTCCCACAATCCGATTTCCCTGCTGTAATTCAGTTTGTAACTATGTTACAGGGGAGCACAATCAATCTATGCCTTTATTTACACAGTGATTTTTTTTTTTTTTTATTTATTTATTTTTTATCAGTTTTCTACAAGTGCTGTCACTACCCTAGTGCCAGAAGTGGGAGCATTAACATATGCAGGGTTGCAGGTTCTTGGCAGGAATTTGTCCAACCCAACTCGCAACAGATGTACATAACCTTGCATTTAGTAAGCTTGTAGCCACCAGTGGCTTGTCAACACCATATGCTCCAGCTAACATCGCTGAACCAAGGAGCAGTAGTAGCAGAAATGCCCTAATGTAGATGAGGCTGGTTTTATTCATACCTGGTGCTTTTCTGTCATTTTTTTTTCAGTATCGTTATCCTCATGTTACAAAAAGGAATACTAAAGTACAGAGAAGGGAATATCAATTGTCCAAGGTTACCAAGCAGCCTCGTGTCAGAACTGGGAATAGAACCACTTCTCTTGAACTGGTCCAGTTCCAGTCCAGTACTCTATGTAGTGAACTACACTATCTCACAGAGCCAGGTCTTGTCTTAAGTGTTTCGAGAGTGTCCACTGACCCTCTTGTAAGTTTGTAGTCTACTCAGGACCTTATTCCTGTAACGATAATCTCTTTTAGTTTTCCACTTGTTACCTGTTCTGTGTCCAGCTATCTCAAATACGACCCCTGGAGTGGCTATTTTTCAAAAGAACATAAGTGAGTTAAATACCCAACATACATGAGTTAAGTACCCAACACATTCCTTGCTGAGAGCTATTAACATGCCAGATCTGCTATGCGGATACAGAGCTGTATTTCGGTTATCCAGTTCTGTTCAGTGGGAACACTTGTGGGCCCTATTCAATTCCAGATGAAGAGCACTATGGCTGCACTACCACAGCATGAATTCAGGAAACTGAAAGATGGGTCTTGACCAAACTGTAACGTGCCCACAATGGATGGAGTTGTGCATTTCTGTATCAATGAGATGTTAGTCAGTTTTCTGGCTTTGTGCTTATGTAGAATGGCCAAGTTCTAGCGTGGTCATGAACACAGGATTGAACTTCCTGGCTTTTGTTGATCTGTCTCAATCAGAAAGTGGCATTAACTTAATCTTTGCAGTTATTTCTATATACAGTAAAAGCTCTGTTATCTGGCATCCCCCGGAAACGGGGGATGCTGGATAACAAAATATGTCAGTTAATTGAGCAGCCCTGGCTGCTGCTTCTCACGCCATGTCTGGGGCTTCCCTCCACCCCTCTCACGGCATCACCGCCCCTCCCGTGGCATTGCTGCCGCTCTCACGGGGCCCTGTGGGCTCTGTGGGACAGGGAGGCAGGTCCCGCACAGCCCTGCACAGCCTGATATGTCCCCGGTCCATGGGGGCTCGGCAGCACAGACTGCTTTGCCCCGAGCCATGGGGGCTCAGAGAAACCAGAAGTGCTATGGTGTGCACCTCCGGTTTCACTGTATCTTACAAGCCGGCATACGGGTTTGTGGAGCATGCCGGCTTGTAAGATGCCGGATAACAGAACTTTTACTGTATGTGCTCATGACTTCTTTCTTTGATCTCCTGGGAACATGTCATACTGGGTGCGTCTACATGAGATGCTTACTATGCATTAGCCGAATAACACTGTGTAGTAGCATGTCACAGCAAAAACCATGCTAATAGCGTACTGCACAGTGTTATCATTAGGCTAATATGCAGTAAGCGTCAATAAATAACCATGCGCCAGCACTACTGCGCAGTAACTTTTAGGTACTGCACATTTAGTTAGTACTTTAATAAAGAAGTACTCAATTAAATGTGCAGTATCTAAGGCACATTAATGAACATGTAGCTGCACCCACAGGGATTTAACGTTGCATATTTGGTGTACCAGAACCTATGGTAAACTAGAATACACTAGCATATTTCACTCCGTCCTGAACCTTCTTTTCTGTCTTTTTCTTTCTGTGCTTATTTATAGAGTTTTCTTATTTCAGTTGATCATGTACAGTGTTTTGAGGAGAACAGAAGGGATTTTTAAATAGCAGAAATGTGGCAGACAGATGGTTAAAAGCAGGTGGGATGGGAAGAGAAATATATCTATTTGGAGACCTGAAAAACAAAGAAAGAAAAGGAAAACTATCAATGTCTGACATACATTTGGGATGTAAGTAGGGCTCGGAGAATGCTTTCACACCTGGAGAAACAATTATGAGAGCTCTGCCAGGGCATGCCACACCTATCCCTCCCCAGTGATGTATGTGTGTAGGAACTGAGAAGGATACACATGAATTAACATTCTTTCTTGGAGTGTCATATTTCTCTGCTCCATCAAAACTGATAAGGGCAAGTGTCAGCATCAGCTAAAGATTCCAGGACCAAATAGAGTGCATGGCGGAGATGCAGTATCAGCTGTTGGCCAGGCCATCTGGGACCGTCAGGCATTTCTCTACTACCTCAAGTATGTTGCCTGTGCTTTACACTCACAGCTGTTTAGGCCTCATTCTACTCAGATTTAATTCTAAATGCTCCTAGACAATATCCCTGCTGGAGTTAAGCTCCTGCTTGTTTAATCCTGGGAGACGCACAGATCTTTCATTATGCAGTAACATAAATTCTCGTCCTGCAAAAGACCTGCCACCAGAAACGGACACGGTAGGGTTACACCACTGCTATTTTGACACTCTGAGGGAGCAGCAAGTCCATATACATTCACAAGCATTTTCTGCGTATCTCTAGGATGTTCCCTAGGGGACATTAGATGCAAGTTTCCAGCACACACTGTTAGCTTTTCAGCTCCTATTTACAGTAACCCCACACCATTTGGCCTATAGACTTCTCCAAGCTCACATCTAAGCAGGAGAACTTTCAAATGAAACCCAGTTGTTGAAGGAAAGGTGTTACTGGACTATAAGAAGCCCTTATCCCCCTGAGTCGGCAAAGAAACAATTTCCCAACTGCGGGGTGCTGTGATGGAGGGACAGGTGTCACACAAGTCTAGGGGATATTTTCCTCCAAGTCAACATAGCATGATGCTAAGGGGCGCTGAGCTGCAGTGAGTTGTGGGGCAGCTCTGCCTTGTGAGTCAATACTGACCTCAGTGTCCCAGGATGATGCTGGCCAGGGCTGGGCTGCAAGGGAGTGGTGCGAGTGACTTTAGGACTCAGCCCAAAGTATGGTGCATGGGGGAGCTGTGTACAGGGGTTGGTGCCATTGACAACTGCAGGCACTCTTCTCTACATGAGTACTTGCCCCAGAGACTTAGCGGTAGGGTTGGTTGGTTCAGTACTGCAGGCGACACAACCTAAAAGATGAACTACAAAACATGCAGGCAGTAAAGACTTCAAAGACCTGTGCCATTATAGAGAGGCCCAATTGCAATCTGCTTCCACTAACCTCAATTGGCTTCTGCTAGCCAAGTAACACCCCTGCCCCTCCTCAATCCCTTTGCATTGTGTTACTAGCAAGAGGTGGCAGTGGCTGCATTTCATTGTGTGTGAAGTAACCTCTTGCTGCCCAGGTAGGGGAGATGCTCGGGATGTCAGGGGGGAAGGAGTTATGGGAACATGAGGAGCTGCTTTAAGCTAAAAGCATGAGGTTGTGATTTTCTGGAGGTCTCTGATGAAAATGACAGGAGAGCGTGACTTCTGCTTTGCCTAGAGTATCCTAAGATCCGAGTGCCGCGCTCCCTGAGACAGACATATGTCAGGCAAGTTGGAGAAGTAATCAACCTGCTGATCCCTTTTCAGGTATGTTCCCAGTTAATGGTTACTGGAGCTTGTCCTGTGCACATCAAGCAAACTCCCCCGGCATGGGAAGATACTGTGGTCCTTGCCTTCCAGAACCAGCATGGGCTCAAAAGGAGACCACGGTTATGGACAGGTGTGGATTACTGGTGGTGGGGGGGGAAACATCTCTCTTGAATTTGATGTGGTGAAATGGGGGTGGGGAAGCAGTGGAGGGGCCAAAGGCGCACAATAACATCAAGGCATAAGAGGGAAAGGATGACTCTACTGAGTTAACTGAGGACTTGAGAGGCCTGGGTTGTGTTCCCTGGTCTACCCGGGGCTCCTTTTGTGACTATGTAACCTTTGTCTGAGTTCCTCACTGGTAAATGGGAACAGTGACACTTCTTTCCTCTGTGGGACACATGACGATGGTTGTGGTAAAAGGTGAGTAGTAATGGGGTCAGGTAAGTACGGCCGATGGATCCTAGCAGCTGTATTGCATATGGCTCTGAGGTGGACAGAGCAGAAGTTACGATGGCACAGAAGAGATAACAGCAACCAATGCAAGAAATAACGGGGGCTTGGATTAGGGTTTTGGTCACTTGGACAGAAAGGGAGGACTGATTTGTTCCCCCTTCTGGAGGAACAAGAGCCTGCCAGTTCCTGCAACACGAGGCAAAGGAAGCAGCAGAGTAAAAGATGAACCCCACACTGTGGACTTCAAAGAAAGCAGTGATGGTGGATTCACCAGTGACTGAGTAGGGGGCATGGGAGGAAAGATTAGGATGGCACTTACGGTTGAGCCTCCCTAGAGGGGGCTGAGATGTGGGGTTCAGCGGCAGAGGGGACGGCAGGAGTGGAAAACGAACTTTGCAAATCTAGCGCATGGGAAAATGTACCCTCTCCCCATATTGCTTCTCCCCTCAGTCCTATCACTTCAGCACCCCAATATCCCCACCTCCCCCCCCACATCAACAGCATTTGCTCCCTTCTTCAGCTCCACTGCACTAAGCCTTGGAGTGGCCCCCATTGGGATACTTCCTGCCCCAGTGAGGCCCTGGGAAAATATGTAGTTTTGTGCTGGTGTGGGGAGGGGGGGGGACAGAGTCATGCCACCAGTCTTTTTATGCTCAGCAGGCTGGAGGGAAAGATGGAGTTCTCATTAAACAAACCTCCTGACCCCCCCCTCCCCAAACCCCACAAGGGGAAGAGGGGCTCACTGGGTGCTTCCAGCAGGAGTGCTGAAGGTGGGCTCTGAACAGTACTGCCTCCCTGCACTCTGGGTGCTTGGGGGAGGGCTAGGAGGGGGCTCCTTTAGCCCAAGTGTCTGCTGTTATCCCCATGTGCAAGTCACTTGCGGACCTCTGAGTGCAAGCAGTGTTTGTGCTGATCTCGTCTGTTTGCCTAACTGAGCAGCTGCAAAGCTCTGTGTTGCATACTGAACAATCCTCTTCTGCTGGCTCTCATGGCTATGTAGGTGTCTGTGAAGGGCTGTGCATACTCCAGCTGGGTGCTTAGTGCCCTGATCTCTTTACCATGCCAGTAAAACCCTAAACACGAGGAACTGTCCTTGCCCTTCAGTAGATGACACCTAGTGTAAGTCACTACCAGGGACCACGCGATCAAAGGGAGCAGTCCCAGCTGCCTGCAGACTCTGGGCTAATGTGTCTCCCATTGGGTAGGTGTAGCTAGTGTTGAGGGACAGGGCAGGCAAGCAGTGTGGGGGTGGAGAAACTGGGAACCTCTTGTGCTAAGTCTTTGGACTTGGAAGTAGTCTGAGTCCATGAATGCCTTTCCCCAGAAAGTAAATCCTTGCGTTTTATTTCCCTTGGTGATGATTTAGGCAATGATTTTCTAGCTAGCATGGTCCAGGCAGGCTGTAGAGGGGACCCCGTCCACTGTGCTGGGGGATGTTTGCTCACATCAGGTCAGGCATGTGAAGATGCCTGAATGATGAAGATTGGAGAGCAAAGGCTCAGAGATGACATGCTCTGAACTCTCTGGTTTTTATACGGCTATGTTTCCAGTGCCCCTGTTGCATCATTGGCAGAGCTGAACTGTTACCCCTGGGGCAGTAGCTGGCTCTAGGTGCTGCCAGAAGCATACCACAACAGCTACATTTAAGTCTGCTAGGGATGGCCAGCCTCCTTCCCCCATCTCAACTTGTATTATATGGAAGGTTTTACATGAATTCTGTAGCCTCTAGTTGCCCACCTGAGCCCACCCTTGGATAGCTTGATCCACCTCCCCATAATACAGCAAAGAATTGAGCTCAGATTTCTCAAGTTTCAAGCTAGCCCTCCATCCACTGGACCACCCTTCTCTTCCTTGTTGCTGCTTTTGACCTCATCAGACCTCTTGGATCCCTCCACTAGCTTCCCCTGTTTCGCATAACCCTTTCTCTGTGTGTAGCCCAGGTTGGCCAGTCCTGCGTCCCCATCTCCATGTGTGCCCAGGGTTTACTCTGAGGTTCCTTAGCACTTCATCCCCAGGATTCAGACTGTCGCATGAAATATGAGTAGCTACATTTGGAGCACAGTTAAGGTTGGGAAGAACAGTTCATTGCTGAGAAGAGGGACTTCTCCCCAGTCCTGCATTGTCAGCCCTGTTCACTGACTCTCACACGGGCTGGGGTCTTTAGCACTGGCAGCAGGACAGTCCTTTAAGGGACACAGGCTAAATATTGCCACCTTGCAATGTGTTCATTCCATTCAACGTGTATTGTTCAGGTTGAGAGGCCCAGCCAAGAGATGCTGCACATTCTCCTGGGTCAGCCTGGCACAGGGCCCAGACTGTCTGCACAGGGAGAAGAAGGGGCATTGCATTCATTGCTCCGTCCAGTTTGGCTGGCGGCCTGGCTCACGTGCCTGGGGTTTGGGCATGCCACGGTGTTCAGTGCACTCTGGTGACAGGTGGGGAGGTGCTCCCAAAAGCTACAATTGGGCAATTTTGCAACACGTGATTCATTGGATCCTTTATCCTTTGAGTCTGCTGCTGATCTTGGTGTAGAGAAGCCTCTGCACTGAAACAGCCCTGTGTCAGTATGAAACAGCTGCTTTATCACATCTGTGCTACGTCCAGAGATGAAGCTGAGCACATAGCCAGCCCAGAGAGAGTGTGCTTTGGTCTTCTGGAGAAAAGTCAGCAACTTGTAGCTTTTAGGTATACAGGAACTGATGCTAGCTGAGTTTAGCCTGCACACTGGCACCCCAGGATGGGAATCCATGAAGACACTGGCACAGCCCCGGTGCCAGCTCTGCAGTCCCTCCCCAGCCCCACAGACTAGGGCCCATCTTCACAAGCACTCATGCTACCAAGGTACAAGGAGCTGGAAGGCTGGTCATACAAGCTCCTTGCTGTGCTTGGCTTCTCTGTGATATCTTCTTCCACTTTTAGCACATCACTATCACTCTTCCTCATTCTTTATGGCATGGAGGGGGGTCTGAGTACCTGCATGGGTCTGTAGGCCAGTTCTGCCAGCTGTCATTGCTACACATGAGATCAAGGTGAAATCTGGGCTCATGAAGGATGATGACTTAATTTGTTACAGAACTGGCAAGTCCCAGTACTAAGCATTGAAAGTACTTTGGGGTCCTTCAGATGCTCACTTAGGCAGTGCTTGGGTCACTTCAGACTGTCTCTGTTACGGTGATCCAGACTCCAGGAATTCCCTAGATCCCTGGCATGGATCTATCTGACTGATGACCTGTTCCTGTTTCACACTCATGTTCCTTCTGAGACTAAAGAATGGGGCAGGAGTTGCTGATATCCTTAAACATAAGCCATGGTTTATCTTCCAGGTATCCCTCCTATCTGGCTTTTTTTAGTGAAGTATCAGAGCACCTCATATTTATCCCAGGACACTCCCATGGTGTTGGGTACTGTTGTTATCCCCTTTACAAAGATGCAGCTAAGTGACTCAGCCGAGGTCTTGCATGGAACTGAACTGAGGTCTCTCAAGTTCCAGGATCCTGATGTAACCGCTAGGTCAGGGGTGTCAAATATATGACCTGCATGCTGGATCCAGCCTGCGGAGCTACTTTATCTGGTTGGGCCACCAGTGGGTCACCAGAAGCTAGGGAGCATGGCCAGGGAGAGCGGCCTGTCCCAGAATCCAGGGCCCTGAGGCCCCAGTAGGCATGATGATTGGTGATAGGAGGGCAAGGGAGGGCTTACACAGCCCTGATCACCCTCCAGCCACTTCACCTGAATGGTGCACACTGTGTGCCCTGTGCCTGAACTAGAGCCAGACCTGGAGCTGCAACCCTGGCATGAGACGTGTGGCAGCAGCAGCTGCAGCTCCTGCCCCCGACCCTGCCTCCATCTTGCCAATGCCCAGAGCCAGAGCTACTGCTGCTGTCACTGCCATCGCTTCCTCATGGCCTGGGCTGGTTCTGGCCCACAAGGAGCCCTGTGTTCCAGATCCAGCCTGGGGCTCCCTGCATTAGGCAATCCTCCCTCTCCATGTCTCCAGCAAGGCTGCATTAGGGTGATGTGGAGACACCAGAGTCTTCCAGCAGCCCTGGCCTGATGTTTTTCTGTCCCAGCCTTCAGAGTCATTCCCCACACAGGAGGACGCTGTTGAGCTAGCAGTTCTTCAGCTGGCCCACGTGCGCTCTCCTTTCTGACCTGCAGCTGGGCTTTGTTCAGGCCGGGGAACAGGAAGGCTCCAGCCTCCCATTCTCCCTTGGGCATTCTGGCATCTCCCTGTTCCCAGTCTGGTTGTGGATGTCCTGAAGGTCTCAGACAAGGGAGGATTTAACTCTGAGCGGGGGACCCTGCACAAGGGTGGGCTGCAGAAAGTTCTGTCGGTGCAGCAGAGAGCCCTTCCTGAGCAGGCTTCTCCCCACGGGAGAGGCTTGGCATGCCTTGCCATCCTTGTGGCAGCCCTTTGTGGGGAAGACATTCAGAGTAGGACAGCATTGGCAGGACCCTCTGTTGCTGGCTGTGGAGCCATCTGCTCTTATTACAAGCATTGATTACTGCTGGTTCTCACCTTCTGTAAGGGGGCATTGCTTCCTCTCACCCAGGAGGATGTGCCCATAGCCACTGCCATGCCTACAGTGCCTCAAGACCGCATGCACCGTGGGGCATCACAGTGGTCAAGACTGGATTGCCTCCTCCCCCTGAAAGTCAGTGTGCAACCCTTGCCTACATCAGTGTGGATAGATAAATCATAGACATGGCATGTGGGGCCTCTCAACCCCACTGTGCTCTGGTTTGGTCCCCTTGCTTACAGTGCTCAGTGATTCCCTTCTTCCAAGCAAAGCTAGCTGCAACTGGACTGCTCCCCTGTTGGGAGAACGTACTGCCTGGGTAAATGTGCTGAGTGCTTTGGGTGCAGTTAAAGGATGAAACGCTCTCAGCCTAGGACTGTGCAGTGAGAGACATACAGGCAGTGTGATCTGGTGGATACAGCACTGAAGTGGACACATGGGTTCTGTTCTTGACTCTACCATTGACCTGCCGGGTGACCTGGGACGTCTCCTGTCTCCTTTCTGTGCCTGTTTCCCTTTCCACGCTTTGTCAGTTTTGTCTGTTTAGACTAAATTATTTGGGGCGTTGGACATGATCTAATTGTGTCTGCGTACCCTGCCTAGCACAGTGGGGCCCCGGTCTGTGTTAGAGCATATAGGTGTTATTGTAATGTGAGCAATAAACAGAGAAAAACCTTTGTTAAAGTACACAGGATTTAAAATAGCACTCGCCCTAAATCCTAGGCAAAGTAGAGGGAAGGCAAGTGTGTGATCCTACTGCACCCACCAGCCATAGCCATGAGGGCATGGAGGCTGGCCTCTGCAGACCCTATCATAGGAACAGGACCAAAGTTTGTCAGGTCTTTGAGGCTCTTTTGGCACCACTGCTGCAGCGTTATAGGTTCTTAGCAGTGGCATGAGCATGGGTTGGCCCAGTCTGTATTGCTAAAAACCAGCTAGCCACAGCCACTCCCAGGACATAGCTGTCAGGGAACATCACAAGGGCATGGGAATGGACTAGCGTCCGCAATGGAGACTTACCCACTAGGCAAAACTGACCACCCTACTCTTCAATTTGCTATCAGAGAGGCCATCCTACTTCCCCTCCCCTCCATCCCCATCCTGTACATCACTCTAGTAGAGACCCCAAGAGAACCACTGTCTTGGAGCTGGCTAGGCTGGATGCAGTCCAGGAGGCAGCAAATTCTTCTTTGGCTGTGTTCTAGGGAAAGCCAAAGCCACAGGTGACCTGGACCAAAGATGGGCAGCCCCTGGATCTCAAGAGAGTGAACGTACGCAATAGCGACAAGGATACTATTTTCTTCATTCGCATGGCAAAACTTGCTGACTCCGGCAAGTACGAGATGACCCTCAAAGTAGATGGGCTGGAGGACCGAGCCACTATTGAGATCCAAGTCATTGGTAAGCACAGTGCATTCAAAGGACTTGGGGCAGTACCGGGATGGGACTTTACTCAGCCTCTGCCCTGTGCCCTTATGAAGCAGGATTCCTAGCAGCCTGGTGCCAGTAGGGCACATTTCTGCCATAAGGCATCTGCTGCTGGGATAGCAAATCCCTGGGACAGCTAAAAAGAGAATTACCAACTTAATTCAAACCCCTTACCTGACCAGAACCCCCACACAGGAGGCCTCAGCTGAGCTGGCAGGAGCCTCAGTGCTTTTTTTCCATCATCCCAGCCAATGCCTCCTTTCTGACCTGCAGCTGGCATTGTTCAGGTTGTAGAACAAGAGGACTCGGGCCCTCTTACCCTTGAGCATCCTGGCATCTTCCTGGCAGGTAACCCTGTGGGCTGAGGGTATTCCAGGGCCAAGAAGTTTGCTGAAGTCCTCTTTGTTCTTGTCTGATGTTGGGGACTCCCAACAGTGACTTGCCATGGTGGGTGCCATCCTTCATGTGTGAGGGACGGAGTGTTTGCTTGAGGGTCTTTGCAAGCATTGCTATTGGGTAGAAGGCTAAGATGCCCTCCTAGAGTGGCTGAAGGTGGCTCCAGATGCCTGTATGTTCCTCCCAGTCTTTTGGAGGCAGTTGTGTGCCAATGCAAATATGTAAGGCGTGAAATCAGGCAGATGTACATGCACATCTCTCGTCTGCCCAGATGCAATAGTTAAGGGCATGCTATAAAACCATAGCAGATAGGACAGTTCTGGGGGAGAGACAGCCAGGATTACTCATACCCCTTCTGGGTACCCAAGGTCACAACTGTTGATGTGCTCTGCAGAGCAGCTACCATTGGTGCAGGCAGATGGAGGCGCAAGTGGCTGGTCATTTCTGTGAGCAACTGTGTCCACTCTGCACCTGGTAGTAGATGGCACCAGGCTGTGAAATGAGCTTCTGATGTGTTGTATCATTGCAGAGAGGCCGGGCGTCCCAGAGAATCTGAAGCTGGTCGACGTGTGGGGGTTTAACGTGGCACTGGAGTGGAGCCCGCCAAAGGACAATGGGAACTCAGAAATCAAAGGATACACTGTCCAGAAATCAGATGAAAAGAGTGGGGTGAGTCCTGGAGCTCTGCCTAAATTGTCCATGTGAGCCATGGGTCACTGGTGTGGGTGTACAGCCTGAGCCAGCTTAGGCCATGTCTATACCAGCTTTAATCCAGATAAGTTGTGTCCTTACTATAGGGAAGCTGCAGCAGAACAAGCTCCAGTGCAGACCTCTTCATCAGTCTGCTGGGGACCCTGTGCATCAGAGCAGCTGACGCTAATGCTGCTGCAGCTTCTCTGCTGGGGGTACCTGAGCTAACTCAGGTATACCGACACACACTGCAGTCACGTCTCCCATAGCAGTGTAGAGAATCTAATGAAGGCAGATGTGATGAGCATCTGTATGTCATGAGCAAGCCTTAGAACCTCACTCAGAAGGACAGGCATGGAAATGGACTCTGCCTTGGGAAATTTGGGTTATGTATGAAAGTGTCTTTCAGCTTGGAACATGAGTGGTTTGCATGGAGCATTTCTTGGGACCACAAAATCTATTTGTTTCTCAGCTTTTTTCCTCTTCTTATTCTGGGCATTACAGAGGGCTTAGGATCCCCAGTCCTGGTCCCGGGCTGGACACGAAACAGATGCAGAACAGAAAGACAGACCAGGCGAACAGGATGCAGTGTAGAGTTCCTGACATAGCTCAGGTACTGGTCACAAGCTAGCTGCAATCTCTGTTGCTGTTATAATTATATGCATCACATTAACTGCTAGAGGCCCCAGTCAGGCTCAGGGCCCTATTGTGCGAGGCATTTTGCAGAGTTGAATATGGTCCTTGCCCCAAAGAGACTACAACCTATGACAGGACAAAGCAGATGTGTATCATAAACAGCTGGAAAGGATGGGGGCAAGGGCAACTCATGACTTCACAAAGGCCAGAGCTGGTCCCAGCCTGCTCTTCTAAATCAGTTACTTTGTGGGGCGGAAATCAAGGAGGCAAATAAATACAATGGATTCCTGAGTCCCTGTTTAAGAGCTGGAAGTCTCCCACAAGAATTACAGGAGGAGTGAGTCTGGAGGAGAGATCTAAGGGTAGCAGTAATTCTTGGGAGGGAGGGTGTGGGGAGGGCTCTAGGTCTGGAGGCTGCAGTTTGCAGTCCATGAAAACACATGTGAGAAGCAGAGAGGCAGGGAGTGGAGCTGTGAGTTGCTGGGGGTGGGTGAGGGCAATGCAACATCATGTAGCTAAATGGGGAGGCTGAGGCTAGAAAGGGCCTGAAAGGTCTGCCAGCCCGGGGCTGCTCTCCCTGGCTCAGTGTGCTGCAGGAGTGGCTGGGGCACGAGGGTGCTCCAGTGCAGGGCTAACTAGCAGGCAGCTCCCTTAAGCCCCAGCCAGCCCTGTCATTATCTACACATATGTTGTGGTGCACTAAATAATGCCACCTCTGGATAGTACTTGTGTTTACAGCTACTAACCTACAGTGGAGTGAATTAGTTTACTGTGGCCAAAAGGGCCACATGTGTAGATGCTGAGACTTTACTGTGGAGCTAATTAGGCAACTCCGCAGTAAATGTTTCTTGTAGACATGCCCAGAGACAGTGAAAGGATGGAACAGCAGGCTATAAAAAACCTCATAGAAGAGAGTTAGGTATGTAGGTCTGGAAGGGTCTTCCCTGAGTCATTGAGGCCAGTCCCACACTGTCACGGGCACTGTCTCACATAACGATACGCTGAGTCAGTTCCATCTGAAAAGCAGTTACGTGGTTCCCTCCCTGCTTCTTGGTTGGTTGTGCCAAAACCTATGAAATTCATGTGATTAGAAGTTTTCTAAATTTATACATGGGCTCTTTATCCTCATTTATTCTTGCATTGGTATATTTCCTTTAGTTTAAATAGCACTTTTCTTTCCTGGGTGTTTGCCGCTGTCATGTATTAGAGAAGGCAGTCGGATCCCCTCTCAGTTTTCTTGAGGAAATGCTCTATACGAAGCACTGTGCCACTGACCAAGGTGTTGTTCTCATAGCAGGAAGAGCCCACCAGGTTTTCAGCATGCTACTGTTCTCATGCTGGCTGACAAATAGGTGACTGGCCACTGATCTCAGGAGGCAGAGCTCTGATGGCTATAAACCAGCGGGAGGTCCCGCAAGGGGATGTGCTCCTGGATTGACAGCAAATCCTTGCTGGGTATCTCAAAAAGGACCAGAAGATAGCAACACAAGTGACTTACTCACTGGATGCATTGACTTGAGCTAAGGGAGAAATGGTAGGTGGGGAGAGGGAGACCAGAGAAAGGGAAGGGAAGGGGAGGCCAGAGCCTCTTGGATTTAATTAGTTAAAGCACTGAGAGTCCCGTGCTCACTCCCCACAGGCACCTGTTGAAAGACCACTTGGTGCTGAAAGATGCCTGTGTGCAGGCTAAAAGGAGGACTGTCGCACTGTGTGGTGAAGGCAAAACCTGCAACCAAGACAACTGCTAAATGTTGTGTCAACAGCTGTAGCCTCTCCGCCGGCAAACTGCTTATCTTGAGCATTAAAGGCTTATCCTGGCTGGGATTGCCTGCCTGTGCTTGTCTTTGCACAGCCTCACAGCCTCACTTGTCACAGCTCAGGGTGGTCAGTGGCTCATGCTCTGCTTCTAAGTGAATTTTCTCCAGTGTGCATAACATGTGGGCAGGTTTTCCTTTCACCTGCAAAGTATTGGTCAGATTGTCCTAGCTTTAGCGCAGAATAGTTGTCCACTTCTGTGGAGTGACAGGGCGGTGTGGGGCTTGCATATCATCCCTGCCCTGAGCTGTTACAGGCAAGCAGTGTGTTGGGGAAGGTAATGGCAAGGCGAATAGAGAGAGAGAGACCTTTGCTGTCATCCCGGGGATGCTGGGAGCCTGCGTTGACCCCGCTGGGTTCTGTCATTTGCTTGTAATGACATTTTTGTTGTTTAAAGGAAAAGTCAGGATTGCAAGCACAGGGCAGTGGTGCAGGGAGCAGCCCTGCAGGTCACAAGCACACAATGGCCCGAGCCAGCTGTCTGGGTTGTGTCCAGTCCTCCATCTGGAGTGGGAAGGGGTACCTAGCTCCCCCAGGAGTCAGTGTCTGAGGGCATTTTTACACGTGCTCCGGGAGCCATGCTAATTAAAAGTGCCTGAGTGTCACGTGCATCAGCATCCCCAACGCTGAACACAGGGCACTTTGAACTAAATAAACCTCATGAAACGAGCTTTAGGTCAAAGAGCCCCATCGCCATTTTTCAGCACAGGGACACTGATACACGTGACGCTGGAGCCTGCCGAAGTGTATTAATTTCTGTGCTCTGGCAGACTCAATCAATCGAGTCTGCTTTGACATGCTGGATTTCCAACCCATTGCAGCTGGCTCCTTGCACATGTATAGGAGCCCAGAGTTGCTGCGACTGCTGGCATCAATCACATTATCTCGGCATTGGAACTGCTTCTTGAACATGTGGGGTTTGCAAAGAAAAAAAGAACTGGGGACTAGGCTATCCCTGTGCCCCTCAGTCCACCTGTTAACAGCGTGACACCCTTTGGCTTTCAGAAATGGTTCACTGTGCTGGACCGCTGCACCCGCACCAACTGCACTGTGTCGGACCTCATCATCGGCAACAGCTACTTGTTCCGGGTGTTCTCAGAGAATGCCTGCGGGCTCAGCCCAAAAGCTGCCATCACCAAGGAGCTCACCCATATTAAGAAAATAGGTTGGTGTGGGAGACGCTACCGTGGAGAAGTTGCTGGCTATTCCCTGTCCTGGGGGAGTAAATGGCATTGAGGTCAAGAATGTCCTAGATGTCAAAACATCCTGGTGATAATGTTCAGCGCCATGGGGTTAGGGTCCAAACATCTCAGCCCTGCTGGGCCCCAAACAGGAGCCCTGTCTTGTGGGAAGAGGGATTCCCAGCACAGCTCTTGCTTCTAATCCTGCCGAGACCCAAGAGAGCGGGTGATGTTTTAACAGTCACACAGCTGGTTTAGATCATTGCGGGAGGGGTTGGGGACACCCGTTGGACTCAAACTGTTGGATTTAGGTGACTAACACCCCTACCTTTACAGGCAGGAGGACACAAAAAATAGTCCCAATAATTTCTCCCGTAAGCCATACTAAAACAGGTTCCCAGGGGTTGGGCTGATTTCCCTAATAGCTTCCCCTACCTTGAAGTGTGCTAAGCTAGCCTCTCCCAGCTGCATGCTCCTTAAGCAGGGTTGTTCTGGAGTATCCAATGCTGAACTTTCCAAGGAGGGTCCCCAGACTGTACCACTGCTTCTGCCCAAGCCCCAGGGCACTGCCCGTCATTGCAGCAAACTGTTGTCTTATTTCTTAGAAACCTCCTTCAAGCCTGAGACGTACTCACGCAAGGACTTCTTGGAGGCTCCCAAATTCACCCAGCCCCTGACAGACAGAACCACCACCCATGGCTACAGCACCCATCTCTTCTGCTGTGTGAGGGGCTTCCCCATGGTAAGCATCTAGCCTTCTCCTTGCCCTGCTTTCATTTGCCCTCCCTTGTATAGTGTACCAGGCAGGTGCTTGGCTTAGATGCTGGGCCCTCTAGCATGACCCTGCCGGGCACATGCATTGAACCTGTTGTTGGGCAGAAGAGGCTGGGGTACCCTGTCATTAGTGGACTCAGGGAAGGTTGCTCAAAGGAGTTTCTGTGCTGATTAACAGGTCAGCTTCCCTCCATTGTGAGTGGGGGAAGGTTAGGGGAGCACCATAACCCTTGCTGAATCTCTGTGGGTGCAATGAAGACTTCTGCATTTGAGAGGCAGTGGCTAGAGCTCAGGGCCTGGTCACCCTGCCTTGGTCAATGGCTTATTCTTTGTCTTCAGACAAGTTACTTCACCTCAGCCCCAATTTTTCCATCTCTCAAATAGAGCTGCTTTCCCCAGCAGAGCTGTGAATGGCGAGTGTTAGTGTCCAGGCTGCCCACCTCTATGGCCCTGGGGTGCTTTACCACAGCTAAGATAATGGTACTTGGCATATGGTTAAACCCTGCTTTTTTGCTGTGTCAAAGCCCCATTAGTCATATGTTGGGAACAGATTTGCCAACTGGTCAGTGCTGGGTGTTGTGCCCTGAAGGGCTGTTGTTCTAGGGATCCGCTCGCACATTGATATATCAGAGAAGCTGGGCTGCTTCTGGTTCACCACAGAGTATGGAGACAGACAACAATAACTGGAGTCCAGCCCACACAAGCCTTTATAAATCCTAAACATCACTTTCCATTGTGCTGGGAAGTCTTTGAGCAGTCGGTGGAGAGCAAAGTGTCACGTGCCCCTGGCAACCCTTGCTAGGAGGCAGGTTGCTGCATTCTTCAGCAGCTGAAACATCTAGAGGCCACCTGATCAAGTCTCCTTGTAGCCTTGAGGAAGATCAGAGCCTGCAGGGAGCAGCCTCAAACTTGGGGTGGGTGAGGTCCCTTTGTCTCACCACCAGCAGCTCTTTGAGAAACCAATTAATTCCTGCTGCTAATAAAAACTCGTGTCTTTTAGCCCAAAATTATCTGGATGAAAAATCAGATGGAGATTCGGGAAGACCCCAGATATATATCCATCATTGAGCAGGGAGTTTGCTCTCTGGCAATCCGTAAGCCCAGCCCATTTGATGGTGGGGTCTACACTTGCAAAGCTGTGAATCCCTTAGGTGAAGCCTCAGTAGACTGCAAGCTTGATGTGAAAGGTAAGGCTGACGTGTATGAATGGACCTGCTTGTGGCTCTCTGCCTTCCCTGGTTGATCAAGTCCTTTATCCTGGCACAGTTACATTGCAGCTGTTTGTTTTGCTATGAAATTCCAGTATAATTTTTTTAAGGGAGTGCTGCACTTAACTCTTATTGAATTCCAATAGATTTGGAGCCTTAGGCCTGGGCAAAGCCCAGCCTTAATTTCCTTTATTGAGCTGTGTCTCACTGGATTCTCAGCACTGGAATCCTCTCCCAGACTGTATATTTATGGCTGACACACCAGGGTTGAACTTGCAGAGCTAGAAGGCATGCCCTGCACCAGCCTCAGCTGAAAAGGCTGCTCTGATGCATGGTAATTACGGTGCACCGGAGCAGATTTGATTAATTGAGTCTGCTGGAGCGTGGTAATTACTGTGCTCCAGCAGCCTCCCGTGGCTTGTGTATCAGTGTCCCCGTGCTTCAAAATGGCAGTGAGAGCACTTGAACTAAAGCTCATCAGATGAGCTTTAGTTTTAGTGCCCCTGCTGCCCTTTTGAAGCAAGAGGATGCTGATACACGAGATGCTGAGGTGCTTTAATTAGCACGGTTCTTGGAGCAGATCTAATTAAAGTGCCACACCGCCACCCCTGGAGCACATGTAAATGGGCATTTTTATGTGTGCTCCAGGGGTGTGGGGGGGTGGCATGTTAATTAAAGCAGCTCTGAGAACTCTAATTAAAACACCACAGTGTCTTGTGTATCAGTGTCCTTTTGCTTCAAAATGGTGGTGGGGGTACTTAAACTAAAGCTTGTGCTATGAGCTTTCTGTTCAAGCAACCCCTTTGCCATTTTGAAGTGCGGGGATGCTGATACACAAGATGTGGGAGGCTGCTGGAGCGCAGCAATTACCACGCTCCAGCAGACTCAATCAAGTCTGCTCCAAGGCGCTGGAATTACAGCGTGTCGGAGCAGCCTCCACGCTCATGTACAGGCTCCCAAAGTGCTCTAGCCGGCACCGTGGTGGAGCTTATCCTCTGCAGATCCAGGCCAGAGGGGGCCTGTAGCACACACATATCAGTGTCTTATGTATGTGGGTCAGGAGTGAAAAGTGTTATAATTAGCCCAGAGCTAGAGAGCCAAGGTGGGCATCTCCTGTGCCCAGAAATATTGCTGCAACATCCAGTTGGGACATTTCAGCACTTTCTTCATACTTGGTAGAGAGATGGGTGAGTGCTAGGAACAAGGCATGAAGTGACAGCACTAGAAATAGATGTGCTCTTGTCTGTGCCATAGGCACTGGTACCATGAACTCCCCCATCCTGCAACCCATACCCCAGGGGAAAGGACCTCAGCTCTGCCTGTCCTTATGCTTTTGTTAGGCACTGCCATACTACAGTAGTAAGGGCCATACAACCCCTAGCTGGGATGGAAACAGGAGACCATCCTCCAAAGCCTGCCCAGTCCTTGTCTTCCATGTGGAGACTGCAGCAAAAGGGGCCAGTGAAATCCTGATTCGCAAGAGCTCAGCAACCAGTGTACTCAGTGAAAATCTGAACCCAATTGTGGGTGTTTTCTGTGATATAGAAACCTGCCCATTAAGGAATGGATTGAATCAACCTCTTCCTGCCACTCCCTCAACAGCTGTTGGAGCCCTGAATTGATTTGGTGACACACCATGCCCTGCACTGTCTCAGTGGGAGAAGCCCTATAGACCGTTACCACTCTGTGTGCTTTCTCCTCCTCCGGGAGAGAAAGAGGTGCACTCTGGTGCTCATGGGTGTCTGCCTTTATAGTGCATCTTCTATTCCAGTGCCCAGATGCAACAGCGATGGGTGCTGCAGAGCTAATTGGGAAGAGATGTAGCTGTGCCTGGCTCCCCCAGGCTGCCCATGCTGGTTGGAACGAGGAAATACCACGTGTTGGTCCTGATCGTGTTCCCTCCCTCTGGAATCCCGCAGCCTTGCAGTATTTTCTTAACATGATCCCTTTACGCTGAACTGTGCAGCGGGTATATTAGGTGTCTCCAGGAGTGGACTATTGGCAAAGAGCTTTCTGCTGGTCTGGGCAACTGGTCCTTTCCACTTGCTGCAGAAGCCAAATGTAGTTGCCGTGATTTATGTCTTGCAACGCTATACGGGGTTTCCTGCTCACATTTCCCTGCTTCAGCAGAGACAGGCCCTGGCTCCCCCAAGTCCATCCTCTTTAATGCAGGTGCCATGTTTGCCCTTTTTTAGGCAGCAGATTTCCCTTCTGGATCCCTGCACCCCACCCTGGGATAGGTGAAAGGTTGCCTCTTCATGACTGCAGTGTGTCAGTGCGCTGAGTTAGCACAGTCGCACACAGACCTCGAGGCAGGTCATGGTTCCCTGGTCACTAGATGTTCCCGATGTGCAGCTGCGAGGAGATTTTTCTGTTCTGATTATAACTAATGTATCTGTGATCTGGCAAGACCCTGGGCACTCTTGTGCCCCGGTGCGGCTGTGGGGGACATGAGGGTATTTGGCACCTTGGAAGGAAAGGTACTTAGCTTTTAACACCTGGTGCCAGGGCTGCGGGCTGGAGTGTACTGTGTAGCCAACTACATAATATCTGCCAAGCTGTTCCTATGTCACAGCAGTGAGTATAGCAACTCAGTCACTGGAATGGGAGTTCAGCGAACATCCTAGACAACTTCTCAACAGTGTGCCAGCCACATGGAGGTTTAAAATACACTCACATAGTTATAGCTATGGAGGCAGGGGAGGAGCGGGGTGGTTAGGCAGGGAGTAGAGCATCATTGGGGACAATCAGCGAAGAGGCCAGCAGCAGAAGAGAAACTGGGGTGGTGTAAGAATAACGGTGGAGGGGCTGGCAAAAAAGTCCCTACAGCTGTCTAGGTGAGCATGGCCCCAGCACAGCAGCCATTCAGGGGCAGGGGAGAAGATGGTGGAAGTGAAGCAGTGACACATTCTGCAAAACTAGTGACCGTGACACCAAGGGAGTTTTTCTGACTCCGCTGTACAATTGTTGCAGTTTCCTGTGTTTTTTTCACAGTGCCCCAGTGAGGACGGTTCGAGGGGCTGATGATGAGAAAGGTAGGTTTGGCTCTGGGTCTCGGGAAAGGAGATCTAATCTGTTTAAGTCAGGTGGGTCAGTGCAGAATCAGTCCATACGGGCTGCTGTGGCTGAGGGTGCTATTTCAGCAGTATTTGGTGCTATGGTCAGAGCAGCATGCAGGCAAGGTGGGAAGTAGCAAAGTCCTTCCCTGCCAGGAGCTCCAGCTTAGAGCAAGGTTACCCCTTGTCATTACTGAGAGGTTCTCATAACAATGAAAACCCTGCTAGGGAAGCAGTCTGCAATACTCATGACCTTGGTGGGCCTTTATGTGCCAGTAGCTGTGAGAGTCCTGTGGAGGATGGGGGAAGTTGTGAGCATGTGAGCCTTGTGCGAGTGGTATGCCAGTAAACACAGATCCCTTGAGCATGTGGATATGGATGGGGGAACCAGGGCAGGGAGGGAACAAAAGCATGGTTAGACATGCGGGGGAGTTGCGCATAAAGGGCGAGACAAAGAGCCAGTGGGATTTGGGTCAGGGTGTGTGTTTGAGCATGTGCCTGTGTGTATGGGAGACCAGGTCTGGGTCCCAGGTGACCAAGTCTGCAGTAGTGGGGAGATAAAGGAGTAGTATTGCAAGTTGGGATGTACTGTGTTTGTGTTTGTGTAAAGGGCCATGACTCATCCATTGAAGGAAAAGCTGGATCCTATGACAGGGGGTCCATGCAATGTCTGGCTCCCCATCCTGCAGGCTCTGCTCTCGGTGTGGCCCTTTCCTCCTGACTCAGTCTTGTCTCTTTGTCCCTTAGAAAGAAGCTGCAGCTTGGAGTGAAGTTGCCCCTTTGTAGCATACCAGACAGAAATGCAGCAGATGGTGATGCCTGCCAGCTTTCTTCCTGCCGCAAGGCCTGGCTGTGCATATCCCATCAGTTCTGGCTTGTGTGAGCAGCATCCCATCGGGCGGACCTCACACCTGCCTGTGCATTGGCCCTGCTGTGATGTTGTAACTTGGGAATGTGCATTTAGCTGTGTTAATAAAAAGATTCCTGTGGGAAGTGTGAGACCCACCAGTTCAAATAATAACCTCCTGTGTGCAAGCCAACCTCACCGATGCAGGATGGGGACCAATTCAGAGTGGCAGTAGGCTGCTTGCATGGCTGTACTGCTCTGGGTGATAAAACAGTCACAGATACTTTTATGGGACCCTGCTCATTGATTTCATAGAGCCTTGGGCATTGTCTAGGCAGGTGTCCAGGGTCACTGACTGGCCCTTTATCATCGTCATCGTTAATATTAATGTAGGCTATTTATTAACATAACGTGGGATCCTGTGGCACTCGGCACTGCACAAGCACTAAGTTTTTTCAGTGTTTGTCACGAAGGTGGGCCCTGCCCCAAAGCACTTCTAATCTACGTAAATCAACCAGATGCAGGGTGGAGGGGGACAGGGTAGAATATGGTAACAGAGTGACTCACAAAGTGGCAGCAAGTGACAAGTTGAGGCCAGGAGATGTTTTGAGGAGGGTTTAGTTAGGAGGGAGTCAGTTAATTGGAAACAAAAAATGCTTAAACCTGGGTGACAGGGCTGGGTAGAAGAGGACAGGAAGGGCTGGTGGGGAGGAGGGTAAGGGAAGGAGTCTGGGAGGGCTAAAGCAAACAGGCAGCTGGCACGGGGCTGAAAACGTCCAGATCAGCTAAAAAAAGGTATTTTGAATAGCTGAAAGTGCCACTTCCCTCTCACTGGTGGGATGATGTGTGGCAAGGAGAGGAGAGGAGGCCAGGGTGGGGAATGCAAGTGTTGGCCAAGTCATGAAACTGTCAGTGGGGAAGAGGAATTATTGGGTATGGGATGAGATGGTGCTAGTTGGACTGGTGGGTGTGGATGGGGAGCATCCAAAGGGAGGAAGGTGAGAGGGAAAGCAGGAGAGAGCAAGCACATAGTGCAGACTATCACTTAAAAGTCATGGGCAGGCAGATCTAGGATTTTGAAAATGGTGAGGTACATCATCTCATATAAAACAACATGTATTTTTCTCCAGTTAAAAATAAACTAGGAACTCTATTAGTATTCAAGGGCCTAGGGCTATATTATTCAATTTAGGATTGAAGCAAAAACAAATATAACTTCATTGGAATGAGTTAAAAACAGCCTGCAGGGCTATGAAATAGGAGCTTCACTATCAGGAACAGCTACCAGACAGCAGAATTGCAGAAGAAAGGATACCTTGATTGGTGGAAGATCAAGACTGTTAAAAAGCAGGGAGGGTCATTAGCACCTGTGGAATAAAGAGTTTAGAAGGGATCAGGTAGATTATAATGAGCCACGACATCAATTGACTCCCTCAGTGCTGCCTGACTAGAAATGTTGCTCCTACTGCCTGGAAGTTGGTGTTAAACTTTGGGTGGAGCAGGAATCAAAGGGGTATGCAAGTGCACCAGTGCAACCCTGGACCTGCCCCTGCTTACAGTGACAATTTACCCCTACCCAGCACTGGCTGCAAGGTAGTCAGGAGCCCCAGAGCTGCTTAAGGAAGTGACAGTCCTGGCAGGAACTGAGCAAGTCAGCACTCTGCCGCAGGCCTCATACTGCTGCTGTCTCTCTCAGGAGATGTAGATCCAACCTCTGGATCGTTGAGAGCTATCACTTCTGCTTCTCGCCACCCAGCAACTCAGCCACTGCCATGCACCCACTGTGCTGAGCATGTGACAGTCTGGCTTTGGGTGCTGAGCCAATTTTCAAGTCAAGCCTTAGTGCTAATGCAATTCCTTTCCCCTTCCTCAGCCCTCCAGCACCTCTGGGGCTACATTTTGTTGCTTGCCCTCCCAAACGGGGCATGGGATATCCCCTGAACTGAAGGGTCCCCCTGCTCTGCAGGGTTGAGCACCAGCTGTCTTTTGTCCTGGAGGGCTGCATTTGCTTGGTCTATCAGTATGAAGTCTTGAATATTCCTCAGTCATTGTGTGAAGTGATTGCTACACCCCTGCCCTGGGCTCACCTGGAAGCTCACCTGTGCATGCACAACCCACGTGCAAGCCTTTGAGATAAACAGAAGTGGAAGCAATATAGCACAAGGGGCCATAAAGGGTGATGCTGGAGGTCACCAGTGGCAGGGATCCTCAGGAACCATTTCACCAGGTGGTTCAGGATAATCCTGAAGGTTCGCCTCCCCCAGACCTGTGCATGGAAGAGCATCCGTTTTCCCTCCTTTCACCCACTTCCCCACTCCCCTTGTGCCCGGTGCTCATCACAAGAGCCATGTGAATAATGTTTTTTCAGCTGGTGGCTATCCAAAAGTCAGAGGAGCAGTCCCTCAGGCTGACCCCAAATGTTTTACCTTGGGGTCTTCTTTTTTTTAAAACTCTTTTAATAATTGAAGTGTCCTGATTATATACACAAAATCATCTATTTGAAATGCTAGCTAAAAGCGTTCCATTTGGATGTTTCTGAATTTATCTCAGTCAAAACTTTCCATTGATTCCAGCATGGCCAAATGATCAGGTGACCCAAAGCTGCATTTTTTTCTAGCAAAAATCTAATCACCAAAAAAAAAAGAAAATTGCAACCAACTCCATCACTTGGCTGACACCACCTTTCCCTCCTCACCTTTCACATGGGGGGGGGCCACGATGCAAGGACCACTGTGTCCTGTACATGGGCAGTAGATGCAGCTGCTCCCTCTTAAGGTCTCAGGGAAGGGCAACCACATACTCCATAGAGGAGTCATTTTCTTAAAGAACTGTTGTTCCCTTGGGTTAGCATGATGATTGCCTAGGCAATAGCAAAAGAGAAGAAACTCTAGGTCTCCCCCTTGTGCAATATGAGAGGACAATGCTCCAGTGTAACAGAAAGCACAGCACAGATGACTGGCACATCTGGGAACCCCCAGCAGGAGGAGATTGCTGCTGCAGAGCTCCATGAGCCTCCTTTCAACGCACAGGATACAGGCACAGGGTTTCCCACACATGGGGACCTAGGGCAATACAGCCACAGGGAAGGGAGTTTCATAGATTTCATAGACATTAGGGCTGGAAGGTACACCTCTTATATATTTATAGGCAGCCACCAAGTGACCCCTGAGCCTTTGCTTCTCCAAGCTGAAGAGTCCCGTGCCTCTCAGCGTCTCCTCATAAGGCCTGCTCTCTTGCCCGCTGATCCTGCGCATGCGTGGCTCTCCTCTGGACTCTCTCAAGCTCCACATCCTTTCTAAAGTGTGGTGCCCAGAACTGGATGCAATACTCCAGCTGCAGCCTCACCAAGGCTGAGTAAAGTGGGAGGATGACTTCTTGGGTCTTGCTTGAGATGCACTGGTAGATGCAAGCCATAGTTTTATTTGCTTTGCCAGCTGTGGCATTGCATTGGTGGTTCATGTCCATCTTGTGATCAGTCATGACCTGTGCATGCATCACTCTTTCGGTCATAGTGCTACTGAGTGTAGCACTGCTGAGCCTATAAGTATGACGTGGGTTTTTTCACCCGAGGTGGAGCACCTTGCATTTCTCTGTGTTGAATGTCATCAGGTTTTGATCCACCCACCTTGCAAGCCTGTCCAGGTTGGCCTGAACTCCCAGCCTATCCTTTGATGTGACTGCACTTCCCCATAATTTGGTCTAATTTGCAAACTTAGCCAGTCCGCTTCTGACACCTGAATCCAGGTAATTTATGAATATATTAAAGAGTACTGGTCCGAGTACTGAGCCCTGGGGGATGCCACTGGTCACCACGCGCCATGTTGACTCGGTTCCATCAACTATGATTCTCTGGGGCCAGCCACAGAGCCAGTTCCCCAGCCATCGGACTGTAAGGTTGTTGAGGCTGCAGTTCCCCAATTTTACCATGAGGACATCATGGGAGACCAAGTCAAAGCCGTTTTTGAAATCTAAATACATGATATCAACCTCTTCTCCTTTGTCCAGGTGATGAGTTGAGTCTCACTTAGCTCCATTGGCCCATGCAACATGTCAAAAACCATTAAACTTGAATCTAGAGCTCAGAGAAACTCATTAGCCAGGAGTTTATTCACCAAAAATGCAGTTTTGGGTCAAATTCAGCAAATGGGCTGAGCCAAAAGAACCCCCCCCCCCCCCCCCTAAAAAAACA